AAATCCGTTCAGAATGTCATTGATTTCTTGACATTTCAATGCATAGAGGTTCAATCCCACTACTGGCGTCGCATGACCTAATCGGCCTGCCACATGGCTTCGGTACGTGAGCATCACTAGAGCGGCGCATCGGGCACGTTCATCATCGTCAGCAGTTTCTCAATGCAACTTCTGAAACCTCTTTGATTTAGGAGCTTAGTTTTGCACTTCAGACATGATGATGATACCGGTGTTGACAACGAAATACATTTACGTTAGTAAAACCGTCTTCCAATGTCTGATGTTTACGCGCTTCTAAAAGCGTGTTTGACGCCAGAAGCAGATATTTATCTTAAAACGTGATTAATGATTAGCTTATTAAGTTTTATCTCCGATAAAATGACTCATATTTACAGCTCGTCCGCGCGATCCTGCAGTACTCAAGGAAGTTGCGAGTTGCAAGACCACGAAGCAATTTTCTTTACGTTATAAGAATGTTTACGCGTATACAAATCTGCAGTCATAACACTGGTCGTAAATCGAAAATCGACCGCATTACGAGCAGGTTGAAATTCTATTCGAATCATAGCTGGCTCTGAACGAAAGCATACTGTCACGTTTGGAATGCTTTTTGACTTTTGAGGCTCAATGAACTCATGGTACACGGCCAGGGATTAAGTGGCTTGAGTATACTGGTAACCCGATCGGCTCAGGACGGAAAAACTACGCAGGTAAACACGCGAGGCGGCTATTAACGCATCCCGAAAAGAAGAGCGACCAGCGTAACGATAGCGAGTCGATCTGACTTTAGCATCTGCACATGTTACGGTACAAAGTATGCTATCTGTCTATACCGGTACAGATTGAAACTGATTTCGGCTCAGTCCAAGCCAGTAATACCACAACTTTACTGCATTATTACCAAGCCTACCCATAAGCCTAAACTTCAGCAATGCTACCTGTATGATTAAGTTCATGCCGCGGATTTCACGTAGGTTGAGGTCTAGAGAGTAATAGGATAAAAATATCACGTTACCAGTCCTGAATGAAAAGCAAACTAGTTTCAGTCCATAACGATATGGACGGTTGACCTCGTTGGACGGTAGCATATATACAGGTGAATCACATCACCGGTAAAGCAATGAATCGGTTCCGTAAAACATCATGGAATCGTTGTGAGAAAACACTGGACCTTATTTCGTTGCAGTTGAATATGCGATTCACGACAGCTCGCAACATTAACGGTAGCGTAGATATCTATCGCACAATAAATCGACCATGATAGTTTAATTATACCGGTAAATGTGTCAAAAGTATACAACATTCAAACAGCCAACTAAATTATGCAAAATGTGATCACAAGTAATAAATTCGACGGTACTGATAGGCATCTAAACGCTGACATCGTTGATGCAAAGTAATGATTGGACAACGCTGACAATCGTCGACGT